AAGCGTGCAAGCAGATGGCACTTCTTGTGCCTGCTGCCCTGGCGCAGCAGTTCGGCCACGGTTCTGTAGGTGGCGCTGTCACAACGTTCGCAGCACTCCGGGGGCTGCCACAATCGCGGCGCGGAAAGGAGCAGTGTTTCCCCTCCCGTCTATTCTACCTTCGTGGCTGGCATGCAGGGGACCCTGGTTCCAATCCCAGTCTGTCCACAGTGTTTTTTTTTTTATTTAGTTGTTGCCTTATTTCGCAGGATAGCGGTAAAAAACACTGGCTGCAGTGTTACAACTACAATGCAATGACCTTTGTTGTGATCTCATAACAGCTTTCACTATAAAAACTTTCAGTAAAGGATACAGCAACACTGAAATGACGTGGAGAACTTCAATGCTGCGGGAAACGCTCTTGCAAAACACAGCGAGATGGACACCTACATCAACTTCGATGACGCCCAGGTCATCAAAACGGAAGGTACCCGCAAAAAAATCAATTGTCTTATACAAGTGACATCTTGAAATACTAAGTGCTCAAGTGGAGCCCTGCTGAGTATGTATGTATAGTCTCCGTAACAAATTGAGAAAACCAAGCAGAAACAAGAACAATGATGGAGAGTGGCACACCGCCAATAAAAGTTGCTAACTTCGGAGCCGGCCAAACAGTCACTTCTGAAGAAGGGACAGAATGGGTCTCAAAAGCTAGGGCCAGTTTTAATATTCAAAACTGTAGACTAATCATGGCTGGAGAGTTTGCTTATTTGTATAATTACAACGAACCAGAAAAATCTCTGTCGAATATGTTTACCATTAAAGGGCAATGTTCGTACGTGCAGATTTGTTGTGCTTACTCAAATAAAAAAACCCCTATAGGACTCAGCTATACCTCTTTAAGCCTGAGGAATTTCGAGAAAAAGTGCTCAGAAGTAGTATACAATTATTTTTCATCAGATTTTCAAGTGGCACGTCCCATTGACCATCGAGTGGAAAAGTGGCTCACTGTTTCACGAGGGCCCCGGCGAGTAATCCCTTCCTCAAGTTTATCACATGGAAGGCCCAAAGCAAGTTGTACACAAGTGCACTTCACAAATCATGCATAAACAGAGGGTGACTTCACTTCAAAATACCGAGCACAACCTTGGCCTGCTAGACTGTGTCTGACCCCTTTGCACACACTCTCTCTGCCTTCAGTTTTGTCTTGCACTGTAAACAAACATGTTAGCTATGCCCGCATATATAGAGTTGCAGTTTTTATTCGGGGGCCCACAACACCAATCATGTACTGGTTGCACTGAATTTGGCGCTCAGTTTGTCTAGGCTTTTCTCTTTCATATTCCAATGGTCTCTTACAATTTACACCTTGTTCTCGCATAAAAATACGAAATAAACAACGACATTCCAATGCAGGCGTATTTAGCAGAGTTAGCCGAATAGCCTTTTTATATCCCTGACAGCTCATAGAAGAGTTCAAAACAAGGACAATAAGCACACATTACAGGGCTAAGAAAAACCTTACTCTCTGTGCTAAATCTATTATTGCCCCAACTTTCGCAATCACTGCTGGACTGATTCCGCAGTTCTTTACAACATTACAAGGCACAGGCCACATCATGCCAGGTGCACACAAACCTACACCAACATGCTTGTGCTACATTGGCCTGTTACAGTCATAATCATTTGAATAATAATTGTTGGGGTTTCACATCCCAAACCACGATATGATTATCACAGACACCACAGTGGAGGGCTCCAGCAATTTCGACTGCCTGGGGTTCTTTAATGTGCACCTCTGAACACATGGACTTTTGTATTTTCTCCTCCATAGAAAATGTCGCCGTGACGGCCGTGATTTGATATTGCAGATATTAGTCGAACAGCCAAAGAGAAGGTGAGCTGGGCAGCCCATGTAGCCGCAGAGCGCAGAGACCTTGGTCACCAGCGCAGCAGTGCCTCTTGTGCCTGCTGAAATTGTACTCAACAAAAGTTCCACACCCCAAAAATAGAGATGTAGTAAACTGCTGTAAAAAAACCCCAAACAACTGAACTGCGAATTTTAATCAATGGCTGCCCTACTAATTTTCTTTGAAACAGTTTAGAAAGATGCTTTGGCACACGCTAAAGAAAATTAATGAGATTTTCTTGCATAAATTGAGCCGGTTTCTCCCCCTCGTGCAGTTTGGTGCAACCAGCGATGTCATATTAACTTGCCCAGCAAAATAGCCCTTCAAAATATTGTTTCCTTGGGCTTTTAGAGGTTTTATCATAAGTGGTAGGAAAAAAATATTTCAATGATTGTGAGGTACAACAGTGGAAGAACCTGTAGAAGTAGACATCCCATTGTACCCCAAAAGAAGATATACAAGGCCAAAAAGAGACACGTGCTCAAGTATAATATGCCACATTGTGCCATGCATCTCGTTCCACAGGTGCTCGCGACATCCATCCGCATCCAGTGGCTTCCGAGCAGGACACCCTTGTCCATTTGCTTACGTACAGGGGCCATACTCCAACTTTTCTGCTAAAAACTTATGCCACGAAATCACCCGAAGGCGAAAACCATCTTCTCTGTAGTAGATGTACTCTACAATGGAGCAGGGCTTCATGTGCCACTGCCAAGCGCTGTCTTCATTTTTTTTTTTTTTTTTTCCTCTTGAGGTCGCACGGTCTCTGGTTTTGTTCACTACCCAAAGGAGGGCACTACAATGGCCATATCACGGCGTTACTTAACATAGCATCACGTCAGAATTTGTGGCCTCATGATGATGTCACAAATGTTGCAATGCGTTCATATGGCGACATCACCACATGATCACGCACCCCCGACACCGCCACATGATGGCCGCCACCGCTGATCGAATCGCTCATTTAAAGGCATCCAAGGCTTTCACTTCAAAACTCTGCCAGTACCACATTAGTGACGCTGATCTTGCACAATGTGCTTTTTGTAGCCAAAACACAGCAAGAAACAAGCAGGTTAAGATGATGAGGCATCTCGTAAACCAAGATGCTTTAATAGCAGCGACAGGTTCCTCGCAATAGCCAAGCGCATAAATTTGAGACAAAGCTTTTTTCTAGAATACGAAGCAGCTTGTGAAAAAGGCTTTGCTTTGAAATGGAGTCTGAAGTCTTCGAGTGACTTAACCACTTCTTCAAGCCTGGCTCAAAGAAAGGTGCAAGAAAGCCACAGCACTTGAAAAAAAAAAAAAAAAAGACAATGCAGAGGGAGCGTCTGCTCTTCACAGCAAGTGACATGAAAGTGGTGGCTGACGCGTACAAGCATGTCACTTTCATACTCACAAAAGGACTAGTGTTTGAAACGTTGAACTATATTCATACAGTCAGTGCTTTGTTGACTCATTTGCGACCACTTTGTGTCGTAATGCCTGGACATCTACCATAGGACCAGAATAAGCTCTAAAAATATTCTTTTGTTTTTTTTATGATATACAGGTGCTATCCCTTACTGGATGAAAACATTTCACCGGCATTCCAAATATTTTTCACATCACTGTGCAACACACACCGACAAGTCCGAAATCAATGCACGGATTAATTAGGATACTTTGGCTCAGCAAATGTGTCGCAGGCAATGCTGATGATACTCAAACCACATACTAAAAAAGCATCCAAGCAGAATAACTTCTGCCGTGAGAACTTTTCTGCCATTTGAGAGAGTCTAACCAAGCACCCCAGTAGTTCTGGCAGTAGGACAAGTGTCTGCACAGCGTTGAAACAACAAATACAGAGTAAAACACCACGAGTGACGACTACGTACCAATAAGTAACATTGTTACAGGACATTTCTTGTTGAATTTTTATCATGGTCATGTCACTCCGCCATCAACTACTACTTGCAACATTTTCATGAAACACTTTCCAGTTATGTCCGTGCAGAGGTTAAACTAGAAATAACAGTGCCACCAAAGTTGCATCACAGCATGCAAGGAGGTGCTCAAGTCAGGCAGCACACCAATGGTGTTAAAAAGGAAACAAGTTAGCAGTTCAAAAGAGAAGTGCAGAGCTGGTGTCTACTCAACTTGTTCCCATTTGATTGGCTAGAAGAGATGAATAATTTTGAAGAATGCAAGCTTTGCTTGAAAAGCCTATTTTTTTATAGCTTAGACATGTCTGCATTGAAGCCTTGCCTAAGAAATAAAAAAAAAATGAACTCTTTCAAAATAACGAACATGTGTATTAAATTGCAGGGTTAACTGCCACCAATGCAGTTCAGTTGCATTGAATTTGAGCCGTTTTTTCTGTTAATGAAAACACTGTGAGCAAATACATTCATTGAGATCATCAGCTGCACTTGCAAAACTAGTTTGGTGGCTAACACATGTGCCCCTGTGTAGAATTTTTATTTACATACAGAAGACTGAATGTGTGATTATTCAGCACACAAAAGCAATCTTGAATTTGTATGAAAATTATTTAAATGATCGTTTCATTGAATTTTGCTTACTTTCCACACTTTGAAGATCTGCATGTCTTTCATGACAGCTCCATGCATTGTAATTGACCAGCACATACAAGCTTACCAAAAGCTCATCGTAAAATTAACCTTCATTGTTGTTATATGCTCCTTGTTTAGAGCTGTGCCATGGTTGTTTGGCACTGCATCAAGACATGTTGCGACGCAGCTGTTTCACAACTAAAATGGTTCCACTCCCCGAACTTTCGCGGGCTTGCTTGTTTGTATGCAAGACTGCTTCCATGAGTGCTGCGCTTGGCTGATGTGTGATGCAGCGCATGACAACACAGCTGGTAGGGTTTTCCTTGAGCAAAACCTAACCTCTAGAAAGGATAAGTGCTTGAAACTGATAAGGAATGCCGCTCGGTCTTGGGGGCACTACAGCAGACTGCCTCGCAATCGCGGTCAAATAAAAGTTCGGGGAACAACACTTCCTCGTACAACTCCGCAAAATAGTGACAGGAAAGGGCGCTCGTTAATTATTACACAGGCAAGGTGGGAGGGGGGAAACAGCGCAGTCATGCATCCAGCACTGAACTACCTGAGCTTTGGCCGCCGGCCGGGACAGGGATACGACTGAAATCTAGCGTCGTCAGCGGCGGCCCGGCACCTGTAAAGAGGAGGTCTAAGAACGCACACACGAGCGGTGGCCGGCCCTCACCGGAGCTGGTGGACGCGTTGGTCGGGGGCACGAGGTGCTGAATGAGCAGCACGTCTCCCTCCTTGATGGCGTGCGACTTGAGCGAGCGCTTTTCGTCGAGCAGAGGGCGGCCTTCGTGCATGAGCACCATCTCCCGGGCGGGAACGCCGGACTCGAACTCGCAGAGCGCCTTCAGCCCCTCCAGTTCCATCTCGGCGCCCACGTCGAGCATGTACAGCTCGCCCGAAAGCGTCGTCACCGTAAGCTTCATTGCGGCGGCACGCTAACACCTCTGACTACGTGAGGGCGTCGGTGAACTTCGCACGGCCTGCCCCAGCAGCAGATGCCGATGACCCTGCCAGCCGGCTGCTGTGCTCGCGAATCTCGGGAGCCGCCCCGAAAACAAAGGCGGCGCTGCTGCGGGAGTTTCAAAACGACGCGGCACGGTGGTGTTCTGCCCCGATCTCGGTCACGGTTATTATTCTTCCACCGTGATCTCGGTCGAGGTGTCTGGGAAAGCCGCAAAAGCGTGTACTTTGGAAGCCATCGTGAATGGCACCAATCTGCGAGCTGTAAAAAAAAAAAAAAAAAAGGAGGAGGGGGATTTTTTACAGGATGGCTTGTGAATCTCGGTCTTCTTTTAACTACTCTAACCTTTCACAAACTCACAAGAGTAAAGAAAAGAACGAAGATCACATGGGAATATGGCAGGGTAATAAATCCCCTCCTTTGGGTACGAGCCATGTGCAGAGGAAAACAACAACAAATCATCTTTCTGCTGTCACAGATCAATTACATTTTAATTCGCAACACTCTCCGGATGTTATTGTATTACAGAAAACTTGTTTAGCATCTGAAAAACAGTTTTATTTACAAAACTATAGATGTTTTCGTTTAGATAGAAATTCTCGAACGGAGAAATAGCGTTTTTTATATCATCCAATTTTTTTCAAAGGGCGAATATTGTTTTCTGGGCAATCTTGTGATCACGAAATCCTAGTTTTAGAACGTGTACTTCCAGGCTATGTGCCATTAGCTTTTGTAAACTGCTATTTTCCGACTGGCGTAAAAGAGGAAGGTATTCGGACCCTATTCATACTTTCTGCAGGCCTAACACATTATATTCATGGGTGATTTTAACTCGCACCACGTAACATGCAAATTCCGTACAGATGAGTCAGGTAAACATCTGCGGAACTGGATTAGTAAAACCCACGGAGGAAGGAACTTCCTCCGTGAGTAAAACCAGTTATACGTGCCTTACTTCTCGAAAAGCTACATTTATACGAGGTACTGCGAGATTGATGCTAGACTTGTCATTCACTAGCTCAAGCCTTCTTATCTCTTCTTGGGCGATGGTTGATACTCCTACTAATATTGATCACAGCCCAATAGTGATTGACATAAAATGCTCCTTGTTCCCATTAGATTTTCAGAGTCACACTTTTGTAAACTATTCAAAATTTTAAGAAAATGTTCGCAGTCAGCTTTGTCCTCTTTTAATAACTCTTAAAATGACGTTAAAGCCATGAGCCTCTGTTTGGTGTTAAAATGCACTATGAAAAGCAGTTCACTAAAGCCTCAGCAAGAAGTAAGCCTTTAAGTGTCTGGTGGGATTCTGATTGTGAACGAGTACAGGCACAGAAAGGCCGCATGGAAAAAACTTCTTATCAACTTCTTATCCCTCTTTAAATTTCTTAGCTCTCACAAAGTTATTTCTTCATCCATAAACATAGAGTCCGTAGTACCGACTTCTAAAGAATTGGCTGATCTTTTAGATGGAATCCCATTGTGATTACAAAAGCACTTTACATCGCAGCTGCAGTTATTCTTCCCCAAACCTTGCTTTGTGGATGATTTTGTGAGCGTAACTATAGAAGGACTTGCTCATGTTGTTCAGTGTCTCCCCAATTCAGCTCCCAAGCCAGATGGCATTACGACGTACATGCTGAAAATGCTATTTGAAGTGTCTCATCAGAACCTCCTTAATCTCTTCAACTATATTCACTTGGGAATCGCTGGATTCCTCTACACTAGAAAATTTCAAAAACAATGATCTTGCTTCAAAAACAAGGAGTGGGTGCGCATATTGATAATATAAGGCCTACCTGATTAACCTCTCATGTTATAAAGTCAATTTGAAAGAGTCTTATACTTTAGAATTATTAAATTTATTGCTGACAACTCAGTATTGAGCCCTTGTGAGATAAGATTTCGACCTGGATGTTCTATATGGGATGCACATATAGATTTAGAGGGACACATAGCTCGTCACAGGCGTCACTTGTAACTTGGCGAAGGCATATGACAGTGTCGAACATGCTATCCTGCTCAGTTCAATAGAAGGCTTGCACTTCTCGCAATATATTACTAATTGGGTGTATGAGTTTCAAAAGAATAGGACATTTTATTGTTACCAAAGACATATATATCTTCCCCAAAATATCACCAGTACATAAAGGTCCCTCAAGGTTCCGTCCTCTCTCCCGTTCTATTTAATATTTTATTAAAATCATGCAGTCTCAGTTCACAAAAACGTCCAAGTGTACATATATGCAGATGACATTGCGTTCTTCGCTGCTGCTAGCGATATTCATTCTTTGCACGCAACATTACAGTCATATTTATGATCATTATAATTATGGTTCCAACATATCTGAATGACACTAAAGGTCGGCAAAATCTCAGTGATTGTTTTTTCTTCGAATTCCCCAGTTAGCGTTTCTTTTGAATACGTACCACCAAAAGGTGATTCCACAAAATATTTAACAGAAAGTGTTAAATATTTAGGGGTACTTTATGACGAAAAAGTTACTTGGCAAAACCACATTGAATAAAATAAAGCTAAGGCTACTCTAGCTGTAGACCTCTCCCTGTTTGTATAAACAGTGTGACGTCGTTGTGAGCACCTGGCCCACCATACTCTCTCTCGGAGCAGGTGCTGGTTGGCAAGAAAAATCCGCCGGCGGCATCTTTGTGATCGGCAGAGCTGCGTGTCTGCATTCTTTCGACAGAAATTTCTACATTGCTAGGTTCCAAAGTCACAGCTTTGAAAGAAGAGGGTCATGGAAGGGTCACTGCTCTAGTGTGGAAAGTTGCTCGTCGTAGATGGATGGATGGAGAAACTTTAGAGTACGGAGAGACGTGACTAGCACGCAGTGGGCTTCGCCCACGTATATGGCAGCCATAAAAAAATTCTAATTCTAAGCAGCCATAAAATTCTAAAACGAACGTTTTCAGTGCACACGGTGACTGGCACTTTGAGAAATATTTGCATGTCATGGATGTTAACTCATTCAATTTCCAATGTGCCATGTGCGAGGCAGTTTTAAACGAGGTACAGAATTGGCGGCAACGTGCTTTTGAGCTGCTGTGCATGACGTCACGGATAACATTCTCGCTCATTGAGCAAAAGTTCGATCGGGGAGAATGCAAAAAAAAAAAAAGAGAAAAACTTCTTGCCGCGCGATAGGCTGAGGTTAACATATCTTCGTGAAAATTAAAGTCAAATTCTGCCGCCGCCTTTCTCAATAACCCAGTGAAAATTCATGTGATGTAAAACCCGACAACTTAATAATATATAATATTATCTGGCACAGTTACCTTGCTGCATATGACACTTATAACGTGTTTTCATGCCTATATTGCTCCTTTAGGCTTGATATACAAACTTCTAATGCGCATTGTCACCTAATAAAGATCGAGCCGTAAAGTAGAATGTGGATAAAAAATGAAAATCTCCACTGGTTCGATTAACACGTATCAGGTATTGGATAATACGATTTATAGCCGTGGTGAAGCGTATATGCAGATTCGGCAACGCTACAACAAGCTTATAGCTTATGTGTAGTCGTATACATCACCCGGAGATCATGCACTTTTATTTTTCTGCACGCCGCGCATAGATGTACCCACTCGCAGATGATTGCATCAAATGCATTTTTATCTTCACTAAAATGTCAGATCGTAAAGTTCCATCGACAATCGGTTACTACAACTGACCTACTACGAATACTAGTGTTTTCGCAAACAAGACGCATAGCGTTATTCACACTGCACACACCACGCACAATATTCCCAGTTTCATCGTCCATAAAGGTGAACCAATATTGTCGATACCTTTCAACGCAGACTACACACCACAGTCAACACTGAACATTTTCGAAGATGATGCCGCTGGTCCTCGCACAGGCTGCCACATGTATTCACTTCTCCGAGATAAACAGCCAGTCAGCGTGGCAAATATTTAATCAGGCACTATACCGCACACCTAGACGTTCTCTGACACATACCACAGCTAATGTTCCCACTGTAAGATAAAGATTAAGCTTTCAAAAAGAAACAACAACTTGCCCCAAGCTCAGAGTGACTGTACCTCACTCAGCTACCAGCGGGAGTGTTTTGCCAACCACTGCCTTGCACGTGCACTGGTGACGTCACGCTGTGACCTACCCCGGTAGAGGTCTATTGGATCAATTTGAAAACTCGATAGACACCCTAGTGGTTTCCACCTAGTGGAAACTCGATAGACACCCTAGGGACAGTCTAATTATGATTTACCCTATGTATGTTTGCCCGATTCTAGAATTTAATTGGTTGTGTTTTATATTTTTTCATATTCGCTGGGAAATGTCCCACTTCGCAACGTAGCTGCCTGCAAATATCTAGGCATCTTGATATCGTCTGACTTAAATTGGACTGCGCATGTCGAACATATCACAAAGAACGCACTCGGCTGGTTATTTTTTCTTAAGCGAACCCTTCATCACTCGACACCCCAAACAAAACATTTAGCGTATACCATGCTTATCCGCCCAATCCTTGATTGATATGTGGGGTTTAACGTCCCAAAACCACTAAATGATTATGAGAGACGCCGTAGTGGAGGGCTCCGGAAATTCAGACTACCTGGGGTTCTTTAACGTGCACCCAAATCTGAGCACACGGGCCTACAACATTTCCACCTCCATCGGAAATGCAGCCACCGACGCCGGGATTCGAACCCGCGCCCTGCGGGTCAGCAGCCGAGTACCTTAGCCACTAGACCACCACGGCGGGGCGATCCGCCCAATCCTCGAATATGCGTGTGTGGCCTGGTTCCCCTTCACATACAAACATGTAGCCGCGCTTGAAAGAATACAACGTAAAGCAGTCCGTTTTATCTATAACAGTTATAGGCGTACCAACTCACCTACTGCTCTTTTGCTAAGAGCGGATCTGCCCACCCTGGCGAGCCGCACCAAGCTTCATAGTCTGAGATTTTTGTATCTGGTGCTACACAACTCTATGAAAATAAATCCGGCTAATTATGTTAAGGTTAACGGTAAGCGCCAAACACGAAATAAGCATTGTCACACACTTTATGAGTATCCCTTCG